ACGTTAAAATTGATGGTTTTCATCGAAAAATATAAGTAGGTGCTTTTGAAATGAGTTCTTGGTAAGCATATTAATTAGCTTCCAAAAAGAATACTTACAATGTACCTTTCTATACGTCAGGTTTTATAAAAACCAATTTTAAGAAGCAATCGATTTTTTGTCTCTATCTAAAGGTGTATAAAAATAATTTCATGAGATACAATCTCATTGATTTCGGAGAAAAGTTAAGCCGATTAATTTTGGAAATAAAAGGTAATTGACGAAGGTCATAGACGTATTCCATGGGTGGATAAGATGTATAACAACGTTACGATTTTTTTTAGACATGAGTGGAAATTTCTCATGGAATCTCCCTCTCTTCGTGCGGAGGATGAATGGAGTTAAGACGTTATTGACTAAAGCTAGCTTATTTTCACTTCGTACGGCGCGTGACTCCGTGGTCGCTTCAAAAAGCCTTGAGACCACCACAGATAGGGTTGATACGGTGCCGCGGAGGACTTGACTCGTGGCCGGGACTCTTTGTAATAAGTGTTTTTTCTTATTTCAGGTTCAGATGTCGTGTAAATATTTATCGTCTTGTCGGCGCATTAGTATGGCCATCGACCATAGAGGCGGCGACGCGCGGGACGGGGGTATAAAAACCCACGTCCGCGCGAGCACCGCGCTTCTTCTTCATCGACACACGCCAGCCATAGCATTCGGGCATTTCTTTGTATCGGTGTGAGCCGGTCTTGATTCTGATGTGTAGAAATTAAACCTATTAAACTGTCAAACACCAAGCGGTCACCGGTGACCGCAACCTATTGTTCTATAATTGTGTCTACAAAACCGGTACTCGACGAGTTAATTGTGCATTCTGTTTTAATTTGAAATAAACCGACAGAGCTACGACAGTCTTCAGTGAGAACATCAACAGCCAATGACCATATCTGATTAAAGGCCTCTTCTTGCATGGAGAAGGTTTGAGCATTAAGAAAGACTTGCTGAAAAGGGATTCCAAACTTATAAGTTAGAAATTATAAGTTACAAGTCCAGACTTCGTCACGGTGTATTTATTCACTGTTTTTTAGTGATGTTTAAGTCATCCACGTAAAAGAAGGCTACCCCAAAACCAGAAGGGCTTTCTTATAATCTCGTATTTGACAAATGGCTTTAGGATCAGTTCATTACAGTTAGGTCACAGAGGTTCCTATTACGAGGTACTGGGACCAGTAACTGAAGAACTACCTATTGAAATACAAAATACTGAGGACTGGTCGGTTCAATGACTGTTTTAAAACTAACAGGGGTAAGCAACAACTTCAAATAAACCACTTATAAGTGTCCACTGCTGAGCAAAGGCCCTTTTCACATGAAGAAAGTATGCGCATTAATCACCACGCTTGGTCAAAATGGATTGGCGATTTCAAAATTTTAATGAGAACAGAACAGCAATAGATTGACTGCCAGTTTATAATAATACATCTACCAGTTTATAATAGTACATAATTATTAATTTTTTTCAGGTACTGATCATGGCATACCATCATTTGTAGTGGCCATGACGTCATGTGCTCACTGGCGCGCGAAAACTTAAGTTAAGTTTAGTCATTGAAATTCAGCAGTCAAGCGGGCTTGACTGTGGTTGACCCAAGCATCCATCTTCAGCAAGAACTGTTATTATCTATATCATCTTATTCTTAATCATAACTGTATCATAATTGTCAAAGTTTCTTCGTTTTAATGTTTGTCCGTCAATCACGCTGAAACTGAATGGATGTTGATGAAAGTAAGTACACAAGCAGGGTATGGGCTGACTTAGGTGATATGATTTTTTATCCTGATTAAATGCTCCCATGGGATGATTAATATTATTCATATTCTAATGCAGGTAAAGTTGCAGGCACAGAACATAATTATAAAGAAGTTTTGTGGTTCCGGGAAACACGTAGCACCTAATAATTATACTCGGAATTTTAATTCGATTCCATATTTGACAATTTCAGTGTTGCAACGTTATGACAAGTACTAAATAGTGACGTTGCGAAATTATTCGATATGGAAATGCAATATTTCTGGATCGATTCATCTCGTTTATAATTTTACTCTCGTAAACCAAGGATATCAGGAAATTAAATATTTCTGACCGATAATGTAGTTTTAACGATTACTTAACGATCTGAGACTTTTCTTTTATAATTGTGTGTGATATAACTAAAAAAATGTAATCATGAAGGAACATGACAAATAAAACAGATAGATGTACTAAGGTAATAAGTTATTTTATAAATTGTCACCGTCATCGCTATCGCTATCCTGTCACTTTTTGTAACATTTATTATAAAACACACACACTGATTGTTTATCGATTTTTGTGTTCATCACTACGCTATTATAACGTGGTATCATTATTTTACAAAATGACAGTAGCTATTGTCAAATCTGGAATCTAATTAAAATTCTGACTATAGGTATATTTTGTTACTCAATTTAATTTTTCATGGGATGAGTCGGTAAACAAGCAGACCGTTCATCTGATGGTAAGCAGTCGTCGCCGTCTATAGACACCCAAAACACCAGAGGTGTTACAAGTTACTGGCTTGCTTGCTAATAGCACTAGCTTGGGAACGGGGTTATTGGGTCTCCGGTAACCTATCATACAACAAAACACAAGGCAAGCGTTGATTCACGTCGATTTTTTGTGAGGCCGTGGGATACAACCTGACGACCTCATCGACACGAATGGCTGGCTCCACCGGAGTGATCCGATTTAAAGTAATGGCACTTGTCCTCTTAGTCTATCATTTTGAAATAGGCAAGTATTATAACATATCAAAAAATATTGCACACACTACCACATACCATGCACTAAACAGCAACAGACGTTAAGATTCAGGCAATCACCAAATTGTTTTCGAAAAACCGAAGAAACCCACTAACACTCTGCCTGACCCGGGAATCGAACCTGCAATATCTTACTCGTCGCAGATTTATCATTTACCCATATAAACGATCATACATGTACTTCTGAAAAGAAAAGTATTATAAATTGTAAGGATCATCAATTAGATAATAAATCCACGAAGGAGCAGTAACTACCTACGTATTAGACTGACTACTCTCTTCTATATCTACCTATGAATACTAACTAAATGCTACTAAGTGCAGCTTTCAAGTTGGTCACTGGATCGAAAAAATAGCGAAGAATTTTATATTGAGAATTTTATATTGATTGAAAAATTGACAAAAATTGTTAATAACGAATTTTGAACCTATCTGCTTATCCTCTTCGAAGAGCAAAGCTCGGATGTCTTACAATGTGGTTTATAGTAACCCCCAACGCCATCTATGTTGAACTATAAGAACTAAAATTAAAATTCAACTTCGGAGCACTAAAAAATCAACTTTATGTAACAACACAGTACTCAATATTTTCGTGTCGATATATAATTATTAATTATAACTTATGTAAAAAAAATTTAAATATAGGTACATTCCTAGTTTTAGTACTGCTAACGCCATCTATACAATGATGACGCAAGATAAACCAACACAGGACTACGCTAGTGACCACAGGTAGACTAGAGTAAATTGCTTATGGTTAGTCTTGTCTATGATAACATAATCTTTCATGTATTTAAAAAAATAAATAACAATTCAATACATAATCGTTTTCTTCATTAAAGCAATCAAGAATAGGTTTTAAAATTAAAATAAGACTTGAGCCCTGACTACTAGCGCCATCTCGTAGCTCATGCATTCAGCTGCAAGCATAACTCAGAGTTACAATAGTTAGCGAAACAAAATACAGAGGCGCTAGTTGCAGTGTCGTGAAAATCTTTTTTCTATATAGAAGCGTAGAATAAATTGGTTACCTTATTCTTTCAGTGGGTATCGTAGCAACTGATTACTGTTAAATCTACACTTAAAACATTTTAAACTACGATCTCCAACCCGCTAGTAAAGCGTGGAGATTATGGGAAATCCTTTTGAAACCATCGTCTAGCAGTAGATTATTACGTGCTGTTAATAAGCTAATAATATTTTTTTATTATTATTAACTGTTTATAATAGACATAGTGTACTTACCGTCTACCGGAGTTGCTGTATATATTATGGAAAAGATGCTACAATGCTATAAGGAAGAAAAATATATCAGTTATGAATGCAGTTCTGAAATCATAATTCGGTTTTGTATGTGTCTATATGGTGCTGTTCTGGGACATCCTGTAAATGTACATAGTATAGTAATTATGCATAGATCCCTATAATACAGACTATAAAACACAAATATAATAATAAAATTATTTTATATTGTGATTAGAATAATGAATTTCTTGATGATAGTACGTATGAAGTGGACTTGAATCTCTAATAAATCTCGAATGTATAAAAATAATGAACAGAGTAAACTTACGGGTATGTAGAGATGTCACACACCTAATTATTGTGAATAAAATCGCTTTTTAAGAATAAGGAGGCAGTTGCACAGTTTTGCATATAGGTCCACATGACATGAACCAGATAATATCGCCATCACAACTTGGCATAACATTACAATATATCCCCAAGCAGTCACCGGTGACCGCTTTCCACTAACTCCATTATAGATCTAATTTCCGATGCTTATAGACTACTTTTGTGTCAACAAATTTTGGAGAGTTATAAAAAGTGACTAATGAATCGCTAGCAAACAGTACATTTTAATGACGACATTGAGTTACAATACCAACCCTTATTATTTTATATATGATAATGATTAAAACGGGTTTTATAATATTCACCCATGTTGATTCCTTCGAAGATGGTAGAAGAGTGACATTATGTTATTATGTTATTACATGAGACTGAAACTGACGAAAACAACTGAAAAGATAAACGAAATGAGTTCTTGTAAAAGAATTACCTACTTGTATTATATTAGATAATTAAATGTACAAAATGACCCTAACAAAAGCCACATATCACTTACCAAAGTAATTATTGTTAAGATAAATATTTAATTAATTACTACAACTCACCATCCATTCGGCCATCTCCGTGCCAGTCTTCTTCTGGAACAAATTTTCGTTGTTTTAGTACATTATAGTCTTATATACTTCAAAAGCATTAAAATCAGATATGTATATAAAAAAATATATGTTGTTATACAACAACACTGCCTCGTTGGCCGAGTGGTCGCAAGTGCGACTGCCGGGCATGTGGTATCGGGCAAAGTTCTACGGGTTTTTTATAATTCTTAGTAGTAGCACGGAGTCTGGAACTGTGCTTAGTAGCCATATACCAGGCACAGTATCCATATACAGGCATTGATGGCAATAGGCTCACCCCTTATTACATGGGACTCATAACATAAATAGTGAAAGGTGGGTGTTACATTGTACAGGAGCATTAACTGCCGTAATGTGCACCTCTGCTTACGGCGTGATGTTATGTTATGTGTTGTTATTACAATAACAACCTGGCTTTATACTAGGATTATCTCACAAATATGTTTTTTATTTCATAGGTCAGCGTTTGACCACTATCTCGCATGGTGTTAAGCGATAATGTTGTCGCCCGTCGTCGACGTACGCCTACTTATAAGCAACCTATTCACTCGAGAATACAGGACACCCAGGTTGTACTTTTTGGAGACACAGGAATTTCAGTCCTTAGCAGTTTGCGTTATGAGACACATCATCAATACATAGTATAAAACAAAGTCGCTTTCGCTGTATGTCCGTATGTGTGCTTAGATCTTTAAAACTACGCAACGGATTTTGATGCGGTTTTTTTTAATAGATAGAGTGATTCTTAAGGAAGGTTTGTATGTATATACATATTGCACCCGTGCGAAGCCGGGGCGGGTCACTAGTTTTACATAAATATCAAATCTAGACCCGGAACAACAACTGCTTGTGGATCATACAAAGAATTGTTTTTTGCTGAATTTAACTCACTATTGCGCCAATCATGCAGCAACTATGTAAATAAATTTTGAATTATCTTTTATAACTCTGCACAAGAATGTCAAAAAAGAAAACACAACAAACAAGATTATATTTAAATGTGCTAAAATAGAAAATAAACTACCAAACTAATTAAATTCGAGTACCTACTTAAGTCTAGAAAAGCATTTATAAGTTACAAACATCAACCCTACTAATAAAATACATTTCTTATTCCTATTTTACCTTTCAAAGACACAAAGAAAGATAGAATAAGTAAAAATTATCCGGATTTATAGGAACTGATGTTGCCAAGTTTTCCTCCTTGGCCTTTCGTGGGCAATGATCCGTAAATATATTTTTTATTTACATAGATCCCACTCGATTTGGCTGACTGAACATTACGTGCCATTGTATACTTTGGGAAAAGGGAAAATTGTACCTGATTGGGTCGTATTCTTTGCCCTGTTGTTAGTTTACCTTGTAAGATAAACAAAATTACATGTAGGTGGATATTTGTATTATACTATCAGTTTTCTTGTTAATGAGTCGGTGGGCTATGAATATCTTGTTAAGAATAATTATGTTCAATTTCTTGCCTCGTTTGGTTTATGTTTTTGTGTCTGATTTACCTCTTATTTAAATTAATTCATACAGGTTCACATACACAAGGTACCCAGACCCGGAACAACAATTTGTGGATCACACAAAGAGTTACTGTGTGCTGGTTTCAAACACGCCATGTTGAGCCACAGCACCAAACGTGCCGTCGAACATACTTGAAATAAAAGTGACTTTTTGGCCTATTGGCGAATTTAGACATAAAATTGAAGTTTGTGGAGAATTGAGGTATCTTTTTTTATACTTGACAGGATGTAGGCCACCATCTCGCCTCGTAGCAAAGGATGATGTAGCCGACGATGGAGCACGTCTACCTATGAACCTGTTCCCTCGAGAGAAATCTATGCTAATTTGGCGTTAATAATGATATTAATAAAATAAGACTGTCAACACTTCTTCACCACACGGTTTCGCCAATTATAATGCCAATTCTAAAATATAAAATGCATTTCTCAACACCCAATATCACTCAAGAAGCTAAGGCTAAGGTTAAGAAAAAAAAATAGGCTAACTACCAGCCGTCCCATAGTTCGCCCGCTAACCGATCGCAGCGCGCGCGGTTACTAGCCGCCGCTGCTGCGGGAGCCGCAAACAATCGCAACCGACGCGGGCGTAATACACAAATTGCTTTGATCTTATACAACACATATTCTGTATTCTACAAAGGCTGCGGGCCCAACACCGCAGCGGGCGCCGCTGAAAATCGCACCGTGCGTCCTTAGCTTTACTCTATATATACAGTATCATGTTAAAAAAGACAATTTGGGATTAACATAGAACGTGAAAAATTTTTGGTATAAGGTGAAAATTTGAGCTCGCCTGTCCTAAGCAACCTATTCACTCGGGACTTGGAGACACTCAAGATGTCACTCGAGATGAGTGGGGAAAGGTGGCTGAGAGCATGAAAGGGAAATATGCTTAGGAAAAAGTATAACACGTATTTTTTTTTTTTTTTGATAGATCGGCAAAAGATATGGCGTCTCACTTGATGGTGAGCAATCAGTGTCCACAAGCAACAAATGTGCGATTTTAGTCACTAATCATTTTATCGGATCTCTCATTCACATTTATAGACATTGGAAATCTTCCTCGCACTGCTAGTTTTGCGTGTAATAACAAAGATATATTATAGTATGTTGTTACCCTTTTGGGAATTAGGAGATGGGGTAATGCGAGGGAACGATTAGGCCTGCGGTAAGCTCGCACGGCGAAACACAACGCATGCGTGTTCTTCATTTCCAACGTATTATCTACAACGAAATTAAATGTAATAATTTACATTACTATCATGCATATTATTGCTTTGAGTGAACTAGTTTAATGAAATTAATAATTGCTTACCATTATCTCGTCCTTTTCGTTTCTTCTTCCCACTGGAGCTGGAGGATTTTGTCTTATCCGACTTATCTTTACTCTTCCAACGGCTTAACATTTTTATTTATTAACTACTTATCACATTTTACATTACACAATCCTTTACACACATTTTACACAGAACACTTTTGCACTGTTTAATTTTTGGTGATTGATTTCTTCATACACTAAACCACTTACTAGAATATAGCACATTTTCATAAAATGTTCATAAAATTCACTACACTTATATTTAATTTTAATTATAGATATGTAAATATTCGTTATTTTCAATTCCAGTTCCTTATCGTTGGTGTTATATGTTTCTATGTTATAAGAAAATTAGTCTTTGTTTCATATAGTGAACTATTACACGGTTTTAAAGCTGGATGTTAATGCCTGAGGATAAAGAATATAGATTTTGTTAGTAATTGTTAGTGCCTGATTTGTGGGCATTGTTCAAAATGGGTCTTGTGTTAAAAGGCCTACAATGAACAATTCACATTATCAGTGTCTGATGTCGTTATCTTTGATACCTATCCCGAAAGTGAATATATGTAGTTTTATATTTTTATTTTATCTGTACGTTTGATTTAATGATTTTGATTAGTATTATTTAAAAATTGTGTGTAAATCATAGCAACAAAAGTATGTAAAAATAATGAAATAGAGAAAGAAATAAATAATAACAGAAATAAATAACTACCATTATCAGATTTTGATTAGTTGGTTGATTTTACAGCGTATTTATATAGGTTTAAGAAATTTACTTCCGAAGATTAGTTTTTTGAAATTTTAATACGATGTCGCAAATAGACAGTTTAAGTAATTTAAGGTAGGTACTAAGTAACTTAACCAATCATCGGTGTCGCAGAAGCCTATTCACGTACTATACAACCCACATAGACTAAGCAGTAGCGTTCTGTAATAAAACTAAACCTATTAAACTGCGGTCTCTAAGCGCACTACCAAACGTGAAAAATATAGCAAAACCTCTTATGTAGACGAGACTTAAAATCCAGCAGAGGACATCACTCCATGTCAGAAAGTACTTAAAACTTCGAACGATGTTCCTAAAGTTTAAATGTGGTTTTAAATAGTCTATGTTACTTCCAACGAGATAAGACTACCTTCTTATTTATTCATTAGAATATAAGCGCTAGGTAAAAGGGTATGACGTGCATTACGTAAAGGATAGTTAGAATGTTTATGGTTACGATATTTGAAACATAACGTAGGCATCGGGCTACGGCAGACTACGGCCGGCTACGACTGGCTACGGCAGGCTACGGCAGGCTACGACATCCTACAGCGGGCTACGGCAGGCTACGGCGTAGCTCAACGGTCATAATATGTCAGGCTATTAAGATTTTGGTTTAAGCTGCAATATGAACACGGATTGTATTACATTTACTATCGTAACCTTTATTGTTCCAAAGTATTAAGCAATAAGCAACGCTGTTTAAATAATATTAAGACAATTATTTAACAAAATAATGTTATTCGCACTTCGCCACTTCTGGCACAAGTTCTTTCGAAAATAATAAGTTTCAAAAGCTTCAAGCGATAGTCAACTCTGTATTCTGGGGCATCAGTGAGAATTAAATAGAGAATTTTATTACTTATACTTTGCGCGCTTTAGAAATTTAAATAGAGTTAGTCTACATAAGTCCATGTTCATGGTATATACTTATACAGCCTGGTAACAAACAGACATACTGTTTTCAAATTATATGCAAAAGCTTTAAAAAACTTATGGCGTAGCAAACAGAGGCAGCTCTTTGTACGAATTAAAACTACTCAACTCAAATTCAAAAGCATTTATTTCAATTAAACCCTAATTTAATACGTTTGTAACGTCAACAAATACAAAATGAATAATAGCCTGTCAGTCTGCCCTTCAGCGAAGCCAGATACTCATTCCAAAAAGTAGATTCGACAGGAGAAGAACGAGAAAGAAACTCCATTCGTTACTCTTAACTCCCTTTACTCTTTCTCTAAACAATATTCAAAGAGTCTTAAGTGGCTATATTAAATAAACAATAGGAATTGTTTCATTTCAACTAAATTTTCTTCTAAAAACCATAACGTAAATTCCGAATACGCAGCTAAAAATTATATTAGCCAATTACTAAAATGAAATAAGAAAA